CAGGGTCAGATTTGGGGTTCCTTAAACATTTGAAGAGGCAGAGCTTCCTTGTAATTTTCGTAGTTTTGTCCCTAGTTAATGGGTCATTCAGAGCCTACCCAGGCAATTTGTTGAGAGTTTGGGCAGTTAATGGTCATAACCCTGACCTTCACATTAACCTAGCCGTCTCTTGTCAAGGGCTCTCATGATCTTCAGGTAATAGCCACTGCTCCCATGAGTTTCCATCTTTGTTGTTCCTCCCCCTCCCCCCTCTCTAAGCCAGGTGGATTCACAAGCCCAAGCCCCTTTGAACTTCCATCCCTCTCTCTTGTCTAGAGAATTTCCATGTTGCCAAGCTTCATTTGTGTGAGGCACCTTTGTCCCTTCTCCCTAGGGCTCAGCTCTCCCTGTGCCTTTCCCTCCTGGTCAGCCACTTGGTTTTTACTCTCTGGTACCGCCTAGATTAGAGCTGAGAAAGGGGAGATGTCCATTTGTCAGTTTCACCAGGATTTGTTAGGAGAGGATGGTGTTGGATCAAGAGAAGTTGGGACCTTGTTGGCCAGCAGTTAGCAGTGGTCCCAAAGGGAAGTTGTCTGTAGCTTTTCCTTAGAGAAATGCTTCCCAGTGAGCATTCAGCCAGTAATGTAGAGTTAATCTATGCAGAGGTACGTTCATGCTAGCTGGTTCTTAAAACAGTAGCTACTGTCTGTCTGATACTTACTCTGTGCCTGCCTCCATGTCAAGGGCTTTGTCCATATTATCTCCTTTAACCCCTTGAGGTGAGTACCATAGTTATCCCATTCTACAGATGAGGTTGGGGTTATATATACCAAGAGTATACTCTGGGGAAGAGGAAGAGCTAGTTGAGTTACTTGGTCTGCAGAAAAAAAGCCAGATGCCCAAATCTGTAGGCTGGTAGGTGGGGCCAGCCTACTTTGAAAAGAGGAAAAAGTACTGTCTTTGCCAAGCTCATGGTATGTGATTGAATCCAACATGCTTCTCTGTCCTGTGGCTGAAGGGGCATCCAGATATATTCTTTGACCTGAGAGGAGGAGCTGGCTGTCACCAGCTCTGCTAATGGAAACTTAAATGCCCCGGAAGTTTAGTCTAGGAGTTGAAAGGCAGATCTGACTCTAGGCAAGGTGGTGATTTCTTCCCACTGCCTCCCGGGTGCCCGCACGGCTGGTTTCATGTCCCTGATGGCTCCGGCAGGTCGGTAGGCCCTGCTGCAGCCGTCCTGGGGCATTGCTCTGGGAATAAGGTGGTCTCTGCCCAGGCCGAACGCTGCAGGGTTCCTCCTGCATGCTGGTCTCAAGAGAGCTTGATTGAAATGATTAGCGCAGTGGGGCTTCCCCCACTTTTCTTGGGGGATTATGTCACAGTCTATTAAGCGTGCTCCCTCGGTATTTAATCCCGCTCTGACATGGATTTTGCTGGCAGCCTGTGAAGTGGCGCTGCTTAAACCCGGTTGCTGTTTTGTGGAGACTGCTCTGTGCAGTCCTTCCGGTGCCCTCAGGGTTCTACCTGTCCCACTTGGTTTGATTTTCTTTCTGTTGAACAGTCTGAAGGAAATAGGCCCCGTATTCGTGCAGGACATTTAGCTGGGACTCCCCATTGTTAGCAGAGGGCATCCTCTCAGGTGAACAGAAGTTTGCCTAGGGCTCTGAGGAGTTTTGAGAGCATGGGCCGGCCAGATGGCCCTGAGAATGCACAGTGGTCAGTCGAATGTGATTGTCCCAGTGTCCCCTCCAGTATCCTGTTCCCCTTCACAGATCACCAGATTTTTTTCAATCCTGTTTATTTTTCAACCTCTCCCAAATCTAAGGAAACAAAGTTTCCAGTATTCACGACCCGTTTTGTAAAACATTGTGTGAAAAAGTCCTATGGTAGTTTCGCAGCCCAGATATGATGGGGGCTGTTAGTACAGATAGTGCAGAGAACTCTTTGGTTGAAAGTCTTTGTAGCGTGGACCTGTCTTGGTAAGTCCTTTGGCATCTGGAAGGCTTGCTTCTGCAGTCATTCCTGATGATGGCAAAGGCTTTGGAGTTGCTTGGGTGGCCTTTTGCGGTCCCACCCGCAGGTGTCGGATGTAGAGCGGCCTGGGCCTTGGTCTGAATCAGCGTGCAGCAGCAGGAGAGGGATGGAGGCCTAAGCTGACCCTGGGCAAGACCTTCGCCTGCTGTGCCCGGGGTCCTTGCCCAGGAGCGGGCACGGGTCAGAGAGTGTCGGGAGGTGCCAGCCACCCTGGCTCAGCTGCCAGAGACCTGTATCACAGAGGCTTCTTTGTGGCCTGGATTTCTTGTAATTTGTATCTTTTCCTATTTGGAGAATGCAGAAAAGGAGGTGCTCAAGGACCCGGCACAGAGAAGATGCTCAGAAATGTTTGTGGCACTAAGTAGGCGGTGGATGAGAGGTCTCCCCTTCCGCCTCACTGAGCAGGAAGAACAGTGGGCTTAGGGGCGGGGAACAAGTCAGTTCTGGTGCTTTTCGGGTCACCCCGGCTGTCTGACCTGACTAGTCCCCCGTCACCTACTCTCCCTCCTATTTGAAATGAAAGGGTGATGGCGTCCCACTATCCCTTCTGCTCTGCGGGCTTTCTCCTGGTTCCAGAAAGCTCTTTTGCTGTTGGCAGTCTTGGGCTTTCTGTCTTTTATCTGGACTTCTAGGAGCCTAGGCAGTTCCTCTCGAGCTATGTTCCCTCCATCCCTGTCCTGGGATTCTGGGTACTTTATGCCCGTGTCCCTCTCAGCTTTTTCCTTTCCAGACTAAAGCGTTGAGAGGGATGCTCTTTATAGCTTTTCTTCGTGGATACCAGCCTCTACCTCTCCGATCTGTCTTTGGGCCTTCCCCAGCTCCCTTGTGTGTCTGCCTGTCTGGTCTGTCTGGCTCTCCCGGTATTTCTCCTGAGGTGAGGTCACCTAGCCCGCCCCAGTGTTCCCCTCAGGCACACATCTTCTTGTCTCCAGAAACCACTCTCCCAGTGACTTCCAACTCCAGA